CTTCCAATACCCTACAGAAGGTTACAGACCCTACAGAACATGCCCTTGAAATTTTTTTTCCAAACAGGGGGGGAAACAAAAGTGGAATGCGGGGGGTTGGAGTGCTCATTAGGGTTTGGGGGCCCCTTCCTTGCAGCTTTTAGCCCTTAGGGTTAATTTGGGGGGGCCGGGGGGGGGGGGGGGGGTGTACTCATAGTCGTGCATGCCGTAGTCGTTAGACCATTGACCTCGCATCCCTACAAAGCCGGGACGGAGCACGCCGGGTTCTCACCGGACCAGGCTCTCACATCACCAAGCGCGAAGCGCCGTGAGGTATTTGGCGAGTCGCATGAAGGGTGAGCTGCATCCTGCTAAGGGTGTTCGGCATCTTGTGCTTACTTCCTTGCGTACGGATGACAGCTGCGTATGACTTAATTTATTTTCTGGTGCTTTCACTTCCAGAGACAGTTGTAAGCACTGTGTAACTGCCTCGAGGATGCTTGACCATTTTAACACAACGTGGTGCGATCATCCCCCTTTGCGCGGAGTGAGGGTTCTCCACCCCGCACAACATCATCTACTCGACCACCATTATGGTTACCGCAAAAAAAAAAACAGAGGTAAAAAAAAAAAAACGGTAACCTGGTTGCCGAGTTCACGGAGTGAATTGGCTTGTTTTACAACGTCGTTGCCAAGCGACGAAAACCCAATCCCAAACACCGAGGGCAGAGACAGTTATAAGCGCTATGTAGCTGCCTCGAGGGTTCTATTTTAACGCAACGTGGTGCGATCTTCCCCTTTGCGCGGATTGAGGGTTCTCGACCCCGCCGAACATACTCTACTCTTCTACCACCATCATCATGGTTACCGCCAAAAAAAAAACAGAGGCAAAAAAAAAGCGGTAAGCTGGTTGCCGAGGTCACGAAGTGATCGGCTTGTTTTACAACGTCGTTGCCAAGCGACGGCAAACACCGAGGGGGGGGATTAACTCGGGCGGGGGGCGAAATGGCGGGAAAATCTGACGAAATGGATCCAGTGGGCAGAGGTCGCGAAAATCGATTTGTCTTCTCCGGCGGGCCCCTGACCCCTGACACAGCGGGGCCGCACGCCGCCTTGTGGCGAAACGAGTTCCAACTTCCGGTTTCGAGGACAAAAACTACGCATCGTGGACACAGCGCAGCCGGCATATCGCAAAAGCTGCCATCTAGGCAACATCAACGAACAGACGCGCATCAAAACCAACACGCGTTGGTTGCACCGTGTGCGTGTGTCCTGTCCAGATCGACGGACATGCGTTCGTCCAGAGGTGCGCCGATAACGACCCTGGCATCTTTCTTCCTCTGAAGCCCTAGTGCACGCAACGCGAGGACACGCTCACTCATGGCTTCAGGCAAACCTCGTGATGCAGCGGTACCACGCCATACTCCGTCGCACAGAGGTGCCTCTTCCGTTCCCAACAGCAATCGATCGCGGAATGACACTGCGCATGTGTACTCCCTGGATCTGCTACAACAGCGGTACCGTAGGGGTGTACTGCTGTAGTCTAGTGGCAAAGGATCCGACTTCCCCATCACAGAGGTCAATCTGATGCGCCCAGGACACACGAGCAATAAAACGCGGTGAACACGAGGAGGCCATGTCTCCTCTTGTTGGCTTCTCGCGGAACACTGCATGCGTTCACACCTTGATGGTTTTCGGGTTCAGGAACGCGAGCTCTAGAGTAGTCATCTTCGTGGCGGCGGCAGCAGGCAGGATCACCAGCAGAATTGGGTGCAATCCCGTCTAGACAGCAAGACGGGCGATGGTATGCAGGCTGTGGTGGATAGTGGGCGGGTAGGGGCGATAGGCGGGCGGTAGCCTTCGCAGGACACCGGCGGCAGCGGCGCAACCTGGCGGGGAAAAATTTCGCGCCCCCCAAATTAGGGGAAAAGGCGTTTGCTGCAGCAGTAGACTACTGGTTGGTATGACCATGGTATTACTGTAGCAAAAGACGGTACATATACGTAGATAGAGCCGGATTGAAGAGAGAGTCATTGGCTTGGCACGACCCTCTAGTAAACCGTAGCCGCTACTGTACTGAAGTCCCAAGTTTTGGCCGTGGTGGAAATTGGTCGATCAGTGGTCCATGGCGTTTGAAAACATCACGAGCTCGTAGACTATATCGCCAGAAAATAAGCCAGCTCGAAGGAAACCAACCGCCTCTGAATTATGTTGGTATCGTAATAATAAAGGCTGTCTCATCGTCGAAATTCCCCCATCAAAATGCTTCGTAGGCCAAGTGGTTGTGTGTGAGAGATGGAGAGAGAGAGAGAGAGAGAGAGAGAGAGAGAGAGGGAGAGAGAGAGAGAGAGAGAGAGAGAGAGAGACATGACAGGCGAGAGATGAGAGATGTCGCACACGCAATCGTTGGTGGTTGCCTGTTGATTGTTGATGTCCTTGCGGAGGTCACATTATCCTCGGGAACAAGCGCCAAGCAAGGTCAAGCACGATGTGCTGAAGCCATCACCGACACATGTGTGTAAAGCAATTGCAAATTTGCAAACAACATGAGGTGAAAAGTACCGGCCCTCAACCGAAAGAACCGGTTCCGTAACACGCTCCCGGATACACTGTTGTACTAGTATACAGTTTGATTGATTGATTTGGACTACAGAAAGGACCCAGAGATAAGAAACGTCAAAATCGGGTCGAGCCTCAAAATCTTATTTTCACCCGAAGGACCAGCCGAAGCCCGTCAATTGCGGGTTTCTTAATTCCTTTGGGCTGTCGCATCGTCCTGCTGCTCATATTTTCTTATTTTCTTACTTCTGACGAAGAATACAACAATGCACCCAAGCCTTCATTCATGCATTTGATCATCAGCGAGGTTGTGGCGAACATTGGTCAGGGTTGTCGCCCTCCTGAACTTCCTGACTCTCGCGATTTGTTGCAGTACTACAGCAGCAGCAGTGGGTAGCGCATCCCGTGGCGGGGCTGGGGCGCGGGGGGCGCGGCGAAAATATTTACTCCGCCCCTACCAACAAATTACATGAGCTAGGTAGTGTGGGGTGAGAGCATGGCAGCAGCAGTGAGACGTTTCTTATTGGACCCGCTTCCCCAGCTACCCGTTTTTTCTCTTGTCTTGGGGTATCGCACCAGCATGTTTCTTTTCGGGACGTTTCTTATGTTGTGGCCGATATTGAGCTGGGTTTCCTAAGCCTTTTTTTGTTATTTTTCGTGAACATTTGAGCTTTTTTCTCTTCAGGGTTAGGCTGTTTCCTATACACCTGATTTCCTTTCCCAAAAAACATCACTTTTCAGGATGGGCAAAAATCCTGGCTGGAAAAGAGTCTGGCCGTTCTTCTGTGAACCGGATTCCTAAACCGGATTCTTGGGAGGTGGGTGTAGATCAACACAGACGACATTGTCATCGAGTGCGACCTGAGATCTTGATGTATCGCTCCCATCAAGGGCTCCGAGCAACCCTACGCTGAAGGGCTTGCTATTCTGCACGCTGGCTGTTGATGGTCGCTCGGCACGCGTGCGAAAAAAAAAACTTTTTGCATCACACCAAGCATGGAGACGCCGAAACAGGCCAAACCGCCACGAGACACCAAACAGAGCCGCTTTTTGTCAGAGAGGGGAGGACACCGCAACCGATTTCTCGCTCCCTAGGCCACCGATCGAAGCCAGACCGGTCAGGGCGTGCTCTCTGTTCCTTGCTCTCTGCCGGAGTCGTTTTGCTCAGCAGCTCGTTGATCCAATCATTCGAAATCGTCGTCTGCGTGTACACAACCTGTCTGTTGAAATTTTTTCCAGGCCTTGAACACATCAGTCTATTCTCAAGTGAAGCAGGCCAGAAAAAAATCACAGTTCGAAAAAGCAACGGCCACCACCCGCATGCTTCTCTCCGTCGATCGAGAGTAAACAACGTTTCCTCCTGTAAAATGCATTGTCCCGCACGAACGCACGCACGCAACACAAAATGTACGCCAAGTTTACACCCCACCTTGCACCTTCCAGTGCACGGCTACCAACAGCAGTCACGTGCTTGACAACACACAGCTACCTCGTCAGTACGTGCGCAGAGACACGCCCCTATTCTGGCATAAAGCTGAATGTTTCCCCCAAAAACAGGTACACCGATGGGCGTACGGCTTCATCGGACACAAACACGGTGTGTCCCCGGCACTAATACGGACATACACGCAAAGACAACACACAAAAGTGACATGGCACAAATCACAATTCCTACGACAGCGCGACCGAAAAAACAGCGTCAAAGGCACACACCCTTGTTAAAAGTGGTCGACGCTTAAGGTTTCGTCGGCCTGCGAAGGTTGAAGGTTGTGGGTTTTCAGTGACCGCTGGCGCTTGGGGCAACGACGTTCCCGATGGCGTCCTGCCACGGGGTATGCTCGTAGTGCCCTCTGGCCATCACTATCGTCGCCCGGAAAATCCTGAGCCCTTTCTGCGCCAACGCCCACGATAAGAGGCCCGTGAACTCCACGGGACAGTGGAACCTAAAAACACGCACCCGGTAGGCACGCGGTAGGATACATGCAACGTATCAATGGATAATATCCATCGCATGATGCACACATCCATCAAACCACGAGAGGCGCCACGTCATGGACGATTCGTGTCTTTCGCGCTGGGGTGTGTAGGGTGGCGGGCGGGGGGGTCAGAGCCACGTATGGCAGTGTGTGGCTGCTCCAGCACAGATAGTCGGGGGTCCTGGGATGATATCGTCCCTACAGGTCGCTGAAACGCTCTGGGAGGTGGGGCCCTTCTACCAAGAGTCTGTGCAGAGGTTTTTCACCGCCTGGGTTTCGTACATACCGCAAGCCACAATCATCGCACTCAACACATGGCACACGGAACAGTCAAAACATACATGTCGTCGCCCCACGGCAGGTGCAAACAGGGAGAGCGGGCCCCTTGAGAGGAATCTGTCCGTGTCCCCGAGCTCAAGCCACGGTACAACACTGAAGCGACCAGGCAAGTGGAAGCATTTTACGCTGATGGTGGAGTGTACCGCAAATCCTAAACACCTGCTTTAGTGGCGGGAAACATGACTTCGGGCAACGTGATCTCTGAAGGCTGCCAAAGAGTGTTTCACGGAGCCAAAGTTGACCAGACATGGGGAAGGCGAGAGATATTACCTTGGGCAAGGCAGCCCAGCCTGTTGGTGCAGCTTCGAGCTCTCTCGGAACATGTCGCAGAAGATGTCCTGCGACTTCGCCACGGTATGTCCCATTAGGTAGAACCCTTGCGGGTTCCACGGACCCGAAACAGATATCGACCCCCCGAAGCAAGGCGGAACCCCACCACCGCCCTCCCGACCACGGACGCGAGCATGCCATGGGAGAGGCACAGCAAACAACGACAAACTCAACGTTAAGATAGCGACCGGCCGTATCATGATGGGTACGCACGTCATGCTTTAAGAGCCGCGTAGAGATATATGATAGGAGGCGTGTTACAACAACTAATCAGCTCGTGGGAAACAATGGTCGTGGTACCGTGGTGAATCTAGGCCTGTCTACGTCTGCCCCAGGCAGGGCGTGCATCGTTGCGCTGTAGCCCTTAGCCCTGCACTACTTGTGTACAGCATGTGGTCTTCCGAGTTGGCTTCCTGCCCTCCCCGCCCCGAATCTAGCGTCGTTCCTTGCCGATCTGATGGTTTCCTGCGATCAATTCTTCTTTTCGTTGTCCTGCTTGCTGATGGTTTGGTAGCGTTGTTCTCCATTTCCGTGGTGGTGGTTTTCCGTGAATCAACATGCATCCTGGTCAATTGCGTGAAGGTCCCTCACGGTACGCCTTGCAATCACAGCCTTCCGCAAAATAAGGCCACACGGCCGTGTAAATATAGTCAATCGTTGATGATACGTCGTGCCGACAGAGCATATATACATGTAGCCTACCTGTGGTGTAGCCAACCACCTTGCCATCTGCATCTCGGGCCACCAGCCTGCAGTGTCCGTCGATGCCCCGACCGTTCGCCGGTGAAAACGGGATAACAGTGATGGATGATGCCATGCACGAAGAGCAAACGGAGAGAGCGGGGGCAAAGTAGTCGTCATGGAATTCTGCTACCGGTACATGTTGCGGGAGCAACTTATGGGCGAATTCCCTTTTCCCAGGCACCTTGGTCCACCACGCTATCCCAGAACAAAAAACAGTCTATTCTCGTAATGACCAAAATACCCACTCCGTTCCGTACTCACGCCCCCTTGCTCAGCTGACCCAACTCACATCGGGAACGGGGCGCCGGACTCCAAGCAACCGGTGATATCCGCACGGCGGTCCCAGCCGCAGCCCTTCCCGTGTGCCTCGAGAAACATTTCCGCGCATTCCTCGACATCCCCCGCGACCATGGCCTTTAGGGTTACCCCGCTAGGCGCGGGGGGGGGCGACAGGCTCCCCTCAGACGGCGGCTCCAAGAATCCTCCCATGTATTGGCACGTGTGCTTTGTCTGGCGAGGTAGAAAAGGGAGTGGTTCGTTACTGTTGCGGCGGTTACTGTTCGTTTACTTAGGCGAACGCGGCGGGTGGTGTGGAGGAAGGTCGATGAAAGGGCACGCTGGGGTGAGTGCACACTTGCTGCGTGTGGTGGAGGGTTCTATGTCTGACCCAAACCTTGCGTCCTCGCGGCCATGCAGGACGGACCACGTGAACTCAGAGGGATGAAGCGTACGGCAGAGGCAGTGTTGAGCGTGCGAATGAAGCCCCGATTCTCGAACCTGCGGACACTTTCAGAGACGCTTGTCCCTACTTGATTATGTTGGTGTTGAAAGACGAGTCATTGCGGGCTACTAGAAATAGGGGGAAAGGCCCCGAAGTCGCGGGGGTGTGTGCATATTGGGACACAAGAACGTCCATGCACACGGCTTTGTGTATGGCGACAGGGCACACCGTACCCCCAATGCTATGCGCCCACACCGTGCCCCCAGTGCTAAGCGCCCTGCAAATCGTGTCGTCTACGCAAGGCGCCAAGAGGAAAATACCAACAAGGGAGGTGCTGTTTTCACCTCGAACCCAAGCTTGGCGTACAGGGAGAACGATCGCGAGTTGGCCGCGATTTGCATCAGGACCTGTGGCCAGACCGAGCGGGAGGTAGACAGAACCGGTTGAAAAACAAACATAGAGCGAAGAGGAAGCGAGCAAAGAAAAAGAGGGAAGCAAGCACACACCTCACCAACAGGAACGCACCGGTCGACGAAAGCTTGCAGGCTGACATGCACATACGTGAGATATACTCAATACGACCAAGAAGTGGAGGGGAGGGCGTGGTAGGCTGGTTGACCAGGACACACACACTGACGTTGATTGGCTTTTCCCAAAGGTCCGCCTAGCAATGGAGAGAGGCCAGAAACTTGCGTACGCAGAGATTGGACTCTCTACATCACAACAAGTAAAAATTCTGCCACGAAATCACTGGCGATGATCGTCAAACCTTGCTGGCCAGCTCCCCCACCCAAGACGCGCCGTTTTGGTCGCCCCCGTTCTCACCAGGGTAGAGAAACCGAGCTCCTCGGCGTAGGCGCAAGCGGCCACGAACGACTTCTTGCCGGCACCTGGGGCTATGGACGACACGGGCCCCAGGCAGGCCACCCTCGAGCCTTTCGCGTGCACGTCGACGAAGGACACACCCACGATCTTGCCGGCCCCGCCGTCCGCCACCACCGCGTACGCCTCGTGTGACTTGCAGATGCTGGAAACAAGGGTGTAAATTTTGGAACCGCGGGAGCAGGGGGTAGGTGGCGCGTACGAGTGCAACAGGAGGGATGTTTGGCGCGTTGCTGTGCATTGAACCACAGATTTCTCCCAGCTTCCGATGCACGCAAGGGGGTCTGTAAAGAACGGCGGTTGCTCTGAACACAGGGATTGGCGTTGCAACAGTTGGGGTTTGTCGTTGGGCATCGGTCCACGTGCGCTGGTATTGTTCCGGCGCTGACCTTTGAATAATGCCCGGGCCCGTCTCAGGGTGTCCGAACTCCTCTTCGTACACCTCTACGGGGGCGCCGATGGAGGTGTTGAAATCTTGAAACGCCCTGCTCACGACGTGAGTTACCTCATCCATCTGCGAGTCCTGCTTCGTCAAACACAGAAGGAGAGCATATCACGATCAAATCGATTTGAGATGTTTCATTCACTTATCCGACTGGCAAACTCCCGCCGAAAGGAGTGACACTGTTGAAATTCAGCGCATTACTGCTGTAGGATGTGTGTGGAATATATGTTGGGTCTTTTTCTGAATTATGACCCAACGAATCCATCTCTATCTAAGAGTCTAAGACAGATTAGCAATGAATTCATAGCGTCAAAGAAAGCTACCTGTATTTCCACGGTTTCCCGAGCATTGCTGTAGGCAATGATACGAACATAGATGCGGTGTGATCAGTGGCGTTGGTAATTGTAACATTTAGCGACGAGTTCTAGCGAGGAGTCATGAATCAATTGATGATTGATCAGAGGATTGGAATTGTAGCGAGATAATGAGGTGTTGCGAGCCCCACCGGGCTCACTCCCAACTATCCCTCAACATCTCAACTCTGCAACTGGGCTAGGCTCCGGTGCCACCGGCAGGCAATAATGAAAGACCCATTGAGGCAACAATGATACCAACTTCAGTCTCGACGACTACACACAGGCTTAACCGCCTGCAGATGTCCCTTGGGTAAAGCGCACCTCGACACCACACATTTCTACAGACACCGCAGGGCTAGACAACGCTGCTGTCCAACACAGTAGTCGTGACCTACCGCGCGGAGCGCAACATTTGATGGAAGTGAAACGAGATTTGCCGCACATCCGAACTTTTGATACAAAAACGAGGCGAAACAAAAGTGGTATGCTCGGTGTTTTACGGCTCACTAAGGTTTCGGGGAGCCTTCCTTGCAGCATCAATATATGTAGCACACCTACGGCTTTACTCGGGGGGGGGGGGGGAATGGCGGGAAAATCGACGAAAAGGATCCAGTGGGCACAAGTCGCGCAAAGTGATTCATCTTCTCCGGCGGGCCCCAGACACAGCGGGGCCGCACGCTGCCTTGTGGCGAAACGAGCTCCACCCTTCCGGCTCCAGGCCAAAAACTACCCATCATGGACACAAAACGCAGCCGACATATCGCAAAGCCTCTTGTCTACATATCTAGGCAACATCAGCGAACCGACGCGCATCAAAACACGCGTTGGTTGCACTGCGTGCATTTGTCCTGTCCATATCGACGGACATACGTTCGTCCAGAGGTGCGCCATAAACGACCTTCTGGCCTCTTCCCTCCTCTGAAGCCCGAGTGCACCCAACGCCAGGACAGGCGCACTCGCAGCTTCAGGCAAACCTCGTGATGCAGCAGTGCCACTCCCTACTCCGTCGCACAGAGGCGCTTCTTCCGTTCCAGACACTATCAGCAATCGATCGCGGAATGACATTGCGCATGTGGACACCCTAGATCTGCTACACCAGCGGTACCGTAGTGTACTGTGGCACAAAGGATTCGAACTCATCATCAACCTGATGCGCCCAGGACGCACATGCAATGAAACGCGGTGAACCCGAGGAGGCCGTGCCTCCTTGTTATCTCCTCGAGGAACAAACATGTGTTCACCTTGATGGTTTTCGGGTCCAGGAACGCGAGTTCTAGAGCAGTCATCTTCTTGGCGGCGGCAGCAGGCAGGGTCAGCGGCAGAATTGATTGAAATTCCGTCTAGCCAACAAGGTAGGCGAGAAACATTGTGGTTGTAAGTAGTAGTAGCCGCGACCGCGGACCCGACGGCGGTGACTTGCGGGGGCTTGCGGCGGCTTGCGGCGCAATCCGGCGGGGGAAAAAATTCGCGCCCCCCAAATTAGGAAAGTAGGGGGTTATTATGTTACCATTGGATAACTCCACAGACCGATGAAATGCTGGAGGGAGAGGGAGAGAGGGTAGCAGTAGACGAGGCACCAGGCTGCAAACCCGCGCCCCCAACAGGTGGAAAATAAGGGAAACAGGTGTGTGCGGCATCCGTTCGCTATGATGGTCGCCAGCCAGATGCACTGGTCCTGCGGCGGCGGCGGGAAAAAAATATGCCTTCTCGCAGGTGGCGGTTCGCAGCCGAGTCTCAGCAACGCGCGCTTCACCTCCGCTCCTGCCGGTGTTCGTGTTTCGAGAGGAGGTGAGTCGGTGGCCCTGGGGTAGCAGACCTTGATCTTCAGGCACCGGGGCATACTATGAATCAATGGCCATAAGGGTGCGCCGTACCGAACCACCTACATAGATAGTTGTTTTTTCAACGAGAGCGGGACCAGCTCTAACGTTAGGTTCGAGAGAGGTACGTGCATATGCTTTGCAAACAAGCTGCACTCAACCCTTGTGCTGTTTTTTAGAAACAAACTTAACCGCACAGAAAGACTACCCGTTCGAGATATAACCTCAGTGGAAAGGGATTTGTTTAAGTCTTTTCAGTAAGTGGATTGCAACCGACTGGAAACTGGGCTTATTTGAGTTGTTTGTTGTTCGTTAACGAACAGTTCACCCCCGCACCATTGTGGAGCGGAGCGGCGGTCGATGACATCCGGCAAGGTACACCTTGTTTTCCACAAACCTAAGCAACGTCCGCAATGCGGGGACATATCTTCATGAGCCGTGCTACCGGCCGTGAAAACGGTGTGGTGAAGGCACCCCCAGGGCGCACAAGAAAACTTATCCCGCACACCCCCCGGGAGAGCCAAGTTTTTTTTTCGTGGAACATTTTTACAGGTTCTCTTGGCCTCCTCCCTCTCTAAAATAGCGTGTGCTTGCGAGTACTTGCTTGTGCTGACGTTTACGGCTCGTGCACAAAGGGCCTTGACAATAGTCTGGTATGTACATCCGGCGGCCGCCGGGAAAAAGTAGATTGTCACTTCCTCTAATAGCTGTGATGATGGACTGGGGACACTTTTAGTTGGTTTTCCGTTGAATAAATTGGGCATAGACTACCTAGAGGGGACACCCCAATACTCCCCGAGCTACAATAACTCAGAACTTCTCATGCTTCTGCGACAAGTGTGTCCACGACGTTTGACCTTAGGCGAATAAGTATAGGCAAAATAACACCAACAAACGACACACCAGGACCAAAGGACACGTATATAATCCAAGCTTACTCAATCAAGGCGGCAATATACCGGAGAGGGGCTGGCAATGAGCAAACGGCGGTGCATGGCATCCCCTTCCTTCGTCACGTACAACACCCGTACACAATTGCAATTTGCCGTGCGTTGAAAACTTTCTTCACTTTTTCCTAGCCCCTCCACCTCCTCACCCACCCGATGTTTGCCATCGGGGTTGGGTTTTCGTCGCATGGCAGCGATGTTGTAAAACAAGCCGATCACTTCGTGACCTCGGCAACCAAGTTTGCGCTTTTTTCTTGCCTTTGGTTTTTATTTTTAGTTAACCATTAATGGTGGCCGAGTAGAATGTTGTGCGGGGTCGAGAACCCTCACTCCTCGCAAAGGGGACAATCGCACCACGTCGTGTTAAATTGGTCAAGCACCCTCGAGGCAGTTAACAACTGTCTCTGGAAGTGAAAGCACCAGAAAAAAAATGATGTCATACGCAGCTGTCATCCGTACGCAAGCAAGTAAGCACAAGATGCCGAACACCCTTAGCAGGATGCATCGCACCCTTCATGCGACTCGCCGAATACCTCACGGCGCTTCGCGTTGGGTGATGTGAGGGCCCGGTCCAGGGAGAACCCGGCGTGCTCCGTCACAGCTTTGTAGGGATGCGAGGTCAATGGTCTAACGACTACGGCATGCACGACTATGAGTACACCCCCCCCTTCCACCTCCCTCAACACGCAGCCTCTTCCCGTCGAGCGCCTTCGCCCTCCCTCCTCCTCTCCCCTCCCCCCACCCCCTCGTCCTCGGTTAGCTGCTTCCTTCTATACACGCAAGCTCGCCCAGAGGCTACTACGTGGATTGTACTACCCCCCGTGCATGAAATGTGCCCCCTTTTAACTTAGGATTTAGAATGGGATTGTTTTAAACAGGATTTTGTTTGGGGTTGGCCCCCCCCCCCCCCGAAGAGGTCCAAAATATAGTTTTGGGGTTAGGTGTCGGAAAAAAGCATTTTTGTGCGCCCTTGGGCACCCACGCCTTCAACTACGTGCATACCCCTGCTCACCATGAGAAACCTTACCGTGTCTAGCTATTGTCTCATTTCCTGAACGATGGAAGTGACTGAAGAAATTCAACCAATCAGCGCGTCAGACCCCTCTTGCATGGCACTTCACACATGAGACAGACCCAGCGCCAGCTCCCTGGCTGTTCGCAGTAGCTCAAAACATTGTTTCGGACGTCTTGCACGGGGTGGGGAGAGTGGGGGTCGGCAAACAAACTCCAGAACCTGTTCCTGTCTTTTGTTGTTGGCATTCGTGTTCGAACTTTGTTGGCGGCAGAACGTAGAGGTTAAAGAACTAACGTCGTCGATGGAGCATTTGCGAATGATCCCCGAAAATTCAGGCAAGGGTCGATTCTTGCCTGGTCGGCGAGGTCGGCGAGGACGGGCTACTGCTGCCCTTAGACCTCGGGGGACACGGAATCGTCTGTGGTAATTGTGCCAAAGGGAGTTGCACTTCACGGCGACAACCGTACGCATTGATGGGGGTACAGTACGCGAGATGCGACACACGCAGGTTGTTTGTGGGGGTTGCTCATTTATTATTTGAGATATCAGGTGTGTGTGCGAGGGAGAGAGAGAGCGGGAGGGACGGAGGGAGAGGGAAAAGAGATGCCGCACACACACAATCGCTGATGATTGTTGGTGTCGTTTCGGAGGTCACATTCGCCGGAACAAGCGCCAAGATGTAGCACGATCTACATGTAGACACCGTAACGGTCTCCTAGAACGATTTTTACTCATCACAAGTGACAAAGCCAATCCATCGCTATAGATAAGAGTCTAAGATAGATTAGCACTTGAATCCATAGCGTCAGCGGAAGCTCCCTGTACTTCTACGATTTCCCGAGCAGCATATGTTGGATACTTCTGAAATAACCGACCATTTTCGGTGTTCTTTGTTCGGTACTTGCTGCAAGCATCAATGCCACGTAGAATCGCCGATCGCCCACTCGCTTGCTGTTTCCCTGTCTCTTGTCTGTTGTCTGTATCACCCGGCTGGAATTGCGTCATTAACCTCGTCGAACGCAGGCATGACAACAGGCGGCGATTCTGATTCCGATCCGAAACCGTCTGATCCCGCCGCCTCCGGCCCGTGGTGGGTTGAGTTGTCGCTCTCTTGCCGCCGGTGGGTTGACAGTTGCCGACGGTTTCCTTTGCTACTGCTGGTCCGGTGGTTACGGCCGGTCCGGTAGCGATACCAGCCGCAGACGTCGTGGTGTAGGTAGGAACGCTATGAGTAGCCTCTTGGAAGGACTCTGGTAGTATTTTTGCGAATCGCATCGCATGAGCCCGGACTGTTTGTGTACGTGCTGCTTCATGTTCGCGCACGTGCTCTGTACTGTAGCAATAAAGTCCATCTCTCTCGCACCAACGGGGGGCGGTTGTTACAAATGACGTGATGCGGACAGCTATTCTTGATTATGACCTTTGTTTATAGAAAACGACCACAGAACAACTCACACACGAGATACGTAGTCTACACCAGATCCATCCATTTAATCACGAAAAGCCCTTCCGTTGTCGCTCAGAGCAGCGCTTGGGTCTTGTCTCCAGTAGCACACCAAGGAATTATTCTTCCGCACACCCCGTCTCATGCCAAGACCAAGATAGCGGTCTAAATTCCAGACGAGTCAAAACCGAGATGAAATATTCAAAACCCGTGGGTGCCGAGAGCGGAGCTTTTCCGAGCCCCAACCTGAAATGTTTACCGCCTATTGGATATCATGGAGCATCGACTTGTCCACTGGCACCCTTTGATTTGCTATCGCGGCTATGCCGTCGAAGGCTGCAATTGGGGTTTGGGCCGCACCTTGACGCCCCAGTTAAGGGGACAAGGATAAGGGGCATGCGCGTGGGAGGGCGGTGGTGACCCTGGGGGGAACATAGCTGTGTTTTATGAACTATGTTTAAGAGAGCGAGGGGGGAACTACGACAGGAGCGGGGGGGGGAGGGGGGGGCACAAAGGCCGAGAGTTTGGGGTGTAGTTTTGGTAACGGTGGTGCGGAGAGTGGGGATGGCGAGGACGGGGCAGCAGGAAAGGTGCGCGAGAGGCCAAAGAGTAACACAAGAAGAATATGAGAGGTGTGAAGGGGCGCAGCGCGGTGTTTGGCGCGGAAAATATGCGACATAGTCACCCACGAAGCATACCAGCGAGTTTTGGTAGAGGCGGCAGCGACATAGTAGGCCGAGGAGGTGGCGATGGTGGCCTGAATTTAGATCCCGACATGCTGCTACCATGAGCTGGTACGTGGTGCGGTACGCGTAGCCTTGTGCGATCGATTGTCCGTTGATGCTCTTGAAGTTGCTACCAGTGACTGCAGTTTGTGGGTGTCGTCGGCCAAAGGCCTCTCTCTGGCATGCGTTGTGGACTGATCACGCTCGGAGCAACCAGAAAAAAACAGACAACGTCCAAAAAAGTCAACATCGCAACACACTTCGGTTCACGTTTGCAGGCCGCGTGCAATCAAAACTGGACAATATGTTCTGCTTCTGGGACGCGAGCAGAGCGT